TATTTTGACCATCACCAAAAATGGGATTCGCGATGGCTAGAGTTGACAATAATAATCATGGAAGCGTTCACGATTTACCTTGAAGTTCTCTGGATGTAATACTGGATATTTTTCTTGTTCTCTGTCTTGTAAGACTTTCAGATCTTCTTACTAAAAATCGAACATAAAAAATTTACAGAAGTGTTGTTTCTTTGACTTTAACAACACAGGCGAATGTATAAGCGTGTCTTCAATCTCTTAACCTCTGGGTGAGAAAATGATCGACTTATGTGTGCCCAGAATGGAAAACTATATGTACAACCAACCTTCCAGTAAAGGACTTGTCATCTCGCGTCGGATTTGATCCAACTGCATATTAGATAATTGTCTTCTTAATAATTTTTCTTCTCTTTCCATATGTGTGGTCATCTTTTTCCTTGCCATTTCAATGCCTTCGGTTTTCTTTTGGAGTGAACTTCTCCTAGCAGAGTTCTTGACATGGCAAGCTTGATAACTCTTCACACTCTCTTTCAGATATTCTTCAATACTGCTTTTACTCATTTTGGATCACTAGTTGAAATTCAACCTTAGGAACAATTTGTGTGCTTCTGGTATTAGCATCAATATAATCATTGAGCAGCCGTCAATGTTCTTGTGGTATACCAGGAGGGTGTACGTCGTTCACAAATTCACAAATCGCAATTAACAAAGTGTGATAAATATGAGTGAACGGCTATCTTTGAACATCCAAATTTCACAGATTCAGTTTGATGCAGACTTTTTCTCTGTATTCCGCCCAAATGTCAGTTATCTCACAACAAGAAAAAAACTTTTCCATAGAAAATCAATAAGTTTCGGCTAGATTACATCCTTTTATTGTGTGTATTGAATCCTATTGCTGCAAAAAAGGCGCACAGTACCGAAGATGTTATCCCAAGAAGAAAAGCACGTAACGGCCACTGAAGCTAGACACAGAGTACAATTAATACTTAGTCCATATCACATATTTGATAATGGATTGGTTAATCTTAATACACGTTTCTCTAAATTATATTGATTCAAGTTGGATTCCCTGTGGTAAATAGAGATAGTAAGGCAGCTTGCTGTAGACATGGTAGCCCCTACGTCCGATTGGTGTTTTTCTTGTAGTCAAATTTGCCTGATCATTGACATCTTCGTTAATTGTGCAAAGTAGTTCAAGATTGACAATTGCTCCAATGTCCCAATACCATCCACTAAACGCAAGCATCAATTTAGATTTCGTATCTCCTGCCAAACGTTCATCTCTCATGCTCACCATACGTGTATTGTTTATGCCCTCACTGCACATGGTGGATTTCAAACAAGAGGTTGCTCGAATATTGCACAAACGTCACCTGAAGATTTTTGTCACTCTGATAAATATGTGTCGATCAACTAATTGTGATCATTATCAGAATGGACAAGTGGAAATCCACTTTGAATATAAAGTGGTCTGACACTATCTTATTTAATATAACATTTAATCAAACTGTCAATAATAGATCAAGAGAGAAGGTCTAAAAGGGTAATCCAGTACTTGTAATTGTCAAAAATTAGTTAATAACATTATATTAAATAAACTAACGTGATAGTGTTGAGTAAGAAATATGATAGGAAATATCAAGTCGTTTAACTGAAAGATCTTGTAAATGGCAGTTTTATTCTTGGTTGGTCAATTATTGTCAAGTTTAAAACTCACCAAGGGACCAACGGGGTCACACAATGTTCCGCTTGTTCCATATTAACTGGCTTCTCACACCAGAGAAAGAGGAACGACCCACACCTCCCTTCGGAACTATGCCCCATGAGGATACCTGAATTCCGTGAAAGTTGGCTATTGCATG